TCGGATAAATGGGTCTACATGGGCCGTAAACGGGCGTAATTGGTATCAGCCCAGCATGGTAACGGGCCATTAACAGGCTGTAGGAAAGCAAAGTCTTAATTCTATCACAGGCAGAACGGGTCGTTAATGGGCCAGAATATACGACGGGCTGGAAATGGCGCAACAGGTTAACAGGCCAGAAACGGGCTGACTCTTGCCATGGGCCGAATTTGGCCCATTAGGGGAACAGGCCAGTAACGGGCCGACTCTTGCCATGGGCCGAATTTGGCCCATTAGGGGAACATGCCAGTAACGGGCCGGAAGTAATCGAGGGCCGAAAAGGAGCCCAAGAACGTATGGGCTCTCAATAGGCCGAAAGCTAACACGGGCTGGAAACGGCCCATGTAAATCACAGGCCGTTAACGGGTACAAAGAAAATTACTGTTCATTATGGGCTAGAGTCACCGTGGGCCTGTAAAGGGCCTAAAGATACGAAGGCCTCATATGGGCCGAAAGACGTCGTGGGCCATACATGGGCCGAAAGTGAAATGGGCTGGTGTTATATCCGACGGCCCACATGACGTCGTTGGGCCGATTTCCTTTAGGGCCTAACGGGCCGTGAGTTACTGGGCCGTAAAATGGGCTATTTGCGAAGAGACCGTTAACAGGCTTTTCATGGGCCAGCCCGTTAACTTTTGACCAAGTCAAACGGGCCGGCTTTGTAAGCTAAATGGGCCAGTGGTGGGCCGTGGCACGTGTCGACATATCATAGGCGCCTAGCTGACACGTGTTTTGTCCGGCCAATAAGAGTGTTACACGTGAAAATTTCCCATTGGTTGGGGCTGTTAACGGGTTATCGGATCCAAAACCCGACCCGATAGCTTAACGGCGTTCCGTTACGATGGATGCCACGTGTTGGTCACCTTTGACGAAAGCACTTCTGTGACGTGCGATTTATCGTCATGGAAGTGGACACTTCCGTGATGATAATTTTGGTAATGTCATGGAACACTTCTACGACAACACAGGTATGACTATGTTGATTCTGTCATAAAATCGTCATGGATGTACATGCATGACAAAAAACGCGACCTACTGTGACAAACACGTATCATCACGGAAGTGTATTTTTTTGTAGTGTATTGTCATGCCCAAGCAGCTCAACTGGAGAGAATGAATAAGATCAAGGGGCTCAAGCGTGCGGATGGCTCTACGTGTCAAACACCGGACGAGAACCATGCAGAAGTCCAAGGGTTTTTTGAAGCCCTCTACACAAGTTAGGGTTTCAAACCAATGGATGAGCTGCTTGCCTTCGTTCCACCAAAAGTGACAGAACAAATGAATGAGGAGCTTGACAAACCATATACTACGGAGGAGGTCAAGACGACCTTGTTTCAAATGGCACCGTCCAAGGCGCCGGGTGTGGACGGATTTACAGCGGGGTTTTTCAGCGACATTGGTCTCTATTAAAAGATGATATAATCTCGGCTGTACTTGATTTTCTGAATGGGGGAGTGCTACCCGAGGGCATGAATAACACTTCTATCACTTTAATCCCGAAGGTGCGCCACCCGCAGCGTATATGTCAGTATCGACCCATATCTCTGTGCACTGTTCTCTATAAGATTGCCTCAAAATGCATCACAAACAGGGTTCGAGTGTTAGTGGGCGAGATAATCAGTGAAGAGCAGAGTGCTTTTGTGCCCGGCCGACTCATTACTTACAACGTTCTCATTGCTTATGAGAGCGTTCACGCTATGAGACGGCGGAAGCGGGGGAAGAATGTTGCATGTGCCGTAAAGCTCGATATGATGAAGGCATATGACCAAGTGGAATGGCATTTTCTAGAGGCAATTATGCTAAGGCTGGGTTTCAGTTCACAGTTTGTCAGACTTATGATGAAGTGTGTAACGTCGGTAAGATTTACAGTTCGAGTGAATGGACAATTACTTCCATATTTTACTCCATCTAGAGGTCTCCGTCAAGGAGATCCTAGTTCACCTTTTCTGTTTCTTATATGTGCAGAGGGTTTTACCTCTTTGCTAAAATTCTATGGAGGGGCCCATGTTGACAGAGGCATCCGGGTTAGCCCTCGTTCTCCCTGGGTTAATCACCTTCTTTTCGCTGATGATAGTTTGATATTTCTGAAGGCAGAAAGGTCGAGTGCAACTAGGTTGAACGAGGTGCTCTGAATTTATGGTGAATGCTCGGGACAAAGTGTTAATAGGGACAAAAGCTCCATCTATTTCAGTCCAAACACACCCAAGACAGTTCGATAGGAACTCAAGGCAGAGTTGGGAAATTAATGTGGAGGCGTTTAACGAGCGATATTTGGGTCTTCCAACAGCCATTGGACGCATTACCAGCGATACGTTTGAATACCTGGGTGAGAGGATTAGGAGCAAGCTTCAAGGGGGCACCGAGCGGCTTATTTCATGTGCCGGGAGGGAGGTCAGGATTAAGGCTGTTGCACAGGCGATCCCGACCTTCTCTATGAGCTGCTTCAAGCTCACAAAAAAGGTGTACAAGGGTTTTTCATCAAAAATGGCAAGGTATTGGTGGAGTAGTTCAGTTGACCGTAGATCTCTGCACTGGATCGATTGGGACTCACTAACCAAGCCAAAGATTGCAGGAGGGATGGGGTTCAGAAACTTGGAAATGTTCAACTTAGCTCTGCTTGGGAAACACGGGTGGATGCTGATCACGAATCCGAATCTCTCTGTGCTCGTGTCTTGAAAGGAAAGTATTTTCCCGTTGGTGACTTCATGGATGCAACAATCCCGAAGCATGCATCAGCCACTTGGAGAGCAATAGTGGCGGGAAGAGAAGCCTTACGGATGGGATTACTAAAGAGAATTGGAGATGGTACGAGTGTATCAACATGGAATGATAGCTGGTTCCGGGCCTTCTCACTCTTCGGCCTTCGGTGCAAATCGGAGATGCCGCTATCCCTCTAGTTGCCGATCTGATTAACACTGATCATGGTACTTGGAACAGCGAACTCGTGCGACAAAATTTTATTGCCCCCGAAGCAGACGCAATCCTGAATATCCTGTTGAGCTTCGAAGGAGGAGATGATTCATGGGCTTGGGCTGGGGAAAAGTCTGGGATCTACTCTGTGAAATCTGCTTACCGATCTTTGATGACCCGCAACGAGCAAGGCGCTCTAGGGGAAGGGACAGTGACTGAAACTTCAGAGAATCATAAAAAGTTGTGGTCTAGACTATGGAAGCTCAAGGTTGTGCCAAAAGTGCGGGTGTTTTGGTGGCGAGTACTCAGGAAGATTTTGCCTGTCGAAAGCATATTGAAGCACCGGCACATTACGGAGATGGCCCGATGTAAAGTCTGTCTACACGCAGACGAAGATATCTATCATGCACTGATTAAGTGCACGCATGCAAAGATGTTCTGGAGCGAGGCAAGAGACTGGCTCAATGTCAAGCTCCCAGATCTTCATACAATGACATGGTCCCATGACATCTTGTGTGACCCCAGGTTTGAAGAGAATGAACGCGCAAAAATCATCACAGTAATGTGGGCGATTTGGACCTCCAGGAACAATATCATTCATGACAGAACAAGTCTTGACCCGGTGGTGACTATGAAGAAGGCCAGGGAGGACCTGGTGATATTGGA